TGACAGCAGTTGCAGTTGTCAGCTGTGCAATGCTACCCTTAGTCAATGTGATTTTTCCTTCACGTTAACCTCCCCTTTCCTCCTTCCTCCCACCCCTGGTAACCACTAATGAACTTTGATCTCTATACGTTTGCTTTTTCTTGTCTTTTCATATAAGTGAAGTCATATGACATTTGTCCTTTTGTGATTGACATATTTCACTCAGCATAATGTCTTCAAGTTCCTTCCACATTGTAGCATGTATTAAGACTTCATTTCTCCTGCTGGCTAAGTAGTATTCCCTTGTATGTATGTACCAGATCACTGCTTTCTTACAGAGCATTTTTAGAGCATATTTGGCTGGATTGCTAGGTAGAGAAACACTCCCATATTCAACCCGTAAGGAGACAGTGCATGGTAAGTGACCATGCTTCTTGTCCTGCCTGTTCTACTCATGATCAGTGTGCAGTGGCATTTAATGTTTTTTTGTGTTAGTTTCCTCAGCTGTTAAAGAAAACAGAGAGAATTCACAGCATGGCTAAGGGTTTCTTTTCTGCTTTAAGTTTCTACTACCCTAGCATTCTAATTTAAGAAATGTACCTCTTCCCAGAGTACAATTTGAGGTGCTAGCTGTCATTAGACTGTACTTTCTCACTTTCTCAGCAATATTACCTATGTCTCCTTGGAAACTGTCTTGGAGGAAAATGGAAGTTATTAAGAAACACTTATGCTCCTCTAGATGAATAGATTCATGCCAAGAAAGCCCAAGTGTAGTAATTCTCCTATCATCTGTTTAATTCTTATGTGCTGTATTTTCTGGGGGAATATTTCAGGCATTCATTCTGTTGAGAATCCTGAGTTGATGGAAGGCTGCTGCTTTTGTATTTACCACATGTAGCTTCACCTTGACTTCAATCTATTTTCACTGCTTATTAAGCAAGGACATTTTAAAAAATTGAGCAGAAATTCTAGGAATACTTGAAATGACAAAGAACTCTTTAAGAAACCAGTCTTCTTGGAGAAATATAGAAAAAGTTTTGGAGGAGTTCCCCATTTCCTGGAATTCTTGACTGAAGTCTTCCTATTTAATATACTGTAGAACAGTTCTGTGATTATTTTTTTGTTAAGACATTTTGCCAACTCTTGATCAGACAATGAAAGTCAGGCAATTTCAGTTGAATTGCAGACAGCATTGGCTCATTTACTAAAAACATACTTTTGCATCAGCCTGAAAGTATTTGACATCAAGAAAGGTTGACTTCCTTCATTATGAACCCATGGCTTAAGCAGTAGAATTGTGCTGGCAAGAAAAGATGTTAGTCATCTCTGCAGATCCACTGTGTGTTGTGTTCTTCATGGGAAAGAATCACTTGATGGAACAGATTCCTGAGTTGGATGTTCCTTTCCCAGGAGAAATAGGCATAAATATTAAGAATTACTAATGGTAATGGATTGCTACTTGGCACTATAGCTAGGAACAAGAATTTAGACATATGTGTTTATATAAATGGTTTAAGCTAATACAAATAAATAACCTTTCATACACATTGAGAACAGCTGCTCTTTTGCTCAGGTTGAGAAAAACATTACTCACGAATACATGAATGTGGATTTATTCATCTTACCGCCATCATAAAGCTCTGTATATAGGAGGGCATTTATAGTTATCTAGTGTTGCTATCACAGAAATACCATAAATGGATGGCTTTAATAAACAGAAATTTATTTTCTCACAGTTTAGGAGGCTAGAAATCCTAATTCAGAGTTCCAGATCTAGGGGAAGGCTTTCTTTCTGTGTCGGCTCAGGAGGAAGGTCCTTGTCTCTTTGAACTTCTGCTCCTAGATGATCTTCATGTGGCTTGGCATCCCTCTTTCCCAGTCTCTGCCCCCACCCCCCCATCTCTATTTGCTTCTCTCTCCCTAATCAGCTTGGTTTATATCTCTTTTATATCTCAAAAGAAATTAACTCAAGATACACCCTATACTAATCCTGCCTCATTAACATAACAAAGACAACCCATTCCCAAATGGGATTTTAACCGCAGGCATAGAAGTTAGCATTTACAACACATATTTTTGGGGGACATAGTTCAGTCCATAACCGAGGGTTTATAAATAATCTTTTTCATTAGAATGTTTAAGCAGCGTTATTGAAAATTGAGTAAGCATACATAATAAGATGAGATACTAAAATACATAGTTTTAAAGTTAAAAAAAATCTCAAAGTCTAATTTTATTCCCTTTTTATTTTTAACCCCCACCCCCATCCCCCAAACAGGCTTGTGTCACCAGAGCAGCCACCAAAGGCCAAGTTCCTGACCTTGGGGTCCAAATTCCGCTACAGTGGCCGCACCCAAGCCCAGACCCGCCAGGCAAGCATCCTCATTGATAGGCCAGCACCACATTTTGAGCGCACTTCTAGTAAACGGGTTTCCAGGAGTCTAGATGGAGGTAAATATATTTACAGTGATTCTGGATTC